TTTCATTGTTTAGCAATCGTTTCAGACGGAAATCATTTCATCTCCAGATTGAAATCGCGTCTCAAAATCATTTCATCATTTCATCGTTTTAGGTCGCAAGGAATCGCTTCTCAAAATCGCTTCAGGTTGCAATCTCTTCTCAAAATCGTTTCAGGTTGAAAACTTTTCATCATATTTCTTTTCAAAATCGTGTTTTCGATTCTTCATTTCGATTCGTCTGTTAGATACTGATTGCTCCGATTTTGGTTTTGTTATCCACAAGAATTGCTTGATGTTGTTGTGTTTCTCATTTTTCATAATCCCCTATTCATTGATTCATCGTTCTGCATTTCATTAAAATCAAATTGTTGTTATATGATTCATTAGTTTTATTTAGTTTCAAACTATTAAGAAGATCTAGATCTGATAATGTGCAATAAATTTTGCAATGATCACTTTTTTCTGAACTACTATGTTGTTCTGCTGTGAATTTGTGAATTTAGATTCAGTAGTTAATCAGCCCTAATTTCTAACCTAATATATTTTTTCTGTTAATTTTTCTATTAATTCAGTAGTTAATTATCCCTAATTCAGTACTGCCAAGACTCTCACTTAAAGTCATAGAACCATGCACATTTATATAACTTTTGGTATCAAATTTGAATTAACTCGCTTGCAAAATGGTTTGTGTGAAATTGAGTTTTACAATCGGTTTGTGTAAAATGGTATCAAATTTGAATTAAATCGCTTGCATAATTTTTCGCAGGTCCATGACCGGTTGCTCCACCACTTTGTTTCTCTTCTTCTAAAGCCAATTTCAAGGTATAATCATTATTTCTCTTTTTTATATCGTAGTTTACAACTATAAGCATCATGAGGATTTTGAAATTCATGATTTGGTTAAGCTTAGATTGTGTATAAGGGGTAGTATCGTACCAAGGAACCGATCAAATTAAACATTATCTTGGTAAGATATGTTTGTATTATCTATTCAAACTTTATTTGTCTTAAAACATATGATAAAATTATGTTTGTATTTGCATCTGTGAAGTATCTCACATTTGCTAAACTAGATTCTAAAGCCCTGTCAATAGCCAAATCTGTGAAAATAGCCAAATCTGCTTTCTTTGTTCTTTCAAGCCCTCTTAACTAACCTCCTTACATTCTGGAACAAAAAAATTTACATTCTGAACATGAGAACAAACTGTTGCCTCATATATTTAGAAAACCAACTTAATGCTCAGTGTTAGTAATTTTTAGAGCACGCATTTGAGTATTTAGTATTAAAGAACTAGCACAGAAAAGCAATTAACACAAGCTATAAAATTAATGTCCTACATATCTATAGTCAGTGTTATCGATATCTGTGTGGCGGTTAACAATGGTGATTTTTTGCGTCGTTGCAATTCTAAATAATAAATATTAGCCGATATTTCAAAATTTCCGCCATAATCCGCTAGGGTGGTGCAACAAAGCATTCAGTATGGTGGGATTTTGGCTCTCTGTCATGAACCACCATTTGCCATCAACAGCAATTAGAGGATCGACCTAACAATACCCTCCATATCAGTGGAAGAAGAATTGGTCTGCAGCATAATTAACACCAATGATTCCAATGATTATGCCTTTAGCTAAACCTTGTTTCAATCACAACTTCACAGATCCTTCTAAAGCATCAGAGAAAGCAGTTATGGTTCTGGTTTCTCCTACAAAAGAATAAATAGTTATGATATAAGATATTGTTTGTTCTACTATTGTGCCAGCTTGATTATACTCTTGTTTGATTTTTCTAGCCAACCCCATCAATGTCCTCTTAGAATAAATGAACTAATTGTTAATCTCACAATTATAATTTTAGAGAAAAAACACTAGAAACAAAGTACTAAAATGAGTATATGGAACTAATTTACCGAATGGAATCTTTAGACGAAAATTATTTAAGATCACACTTTCTGGCCTTGCCGGATACACAGATTCAACATGGTTGAATTCAACTTCCCCCAACACTTTCTATATAAATTCACCATCTATGTTTTTTGAATCAATCTTTGGAACTCTATTTATCATTTCCATTATTCTTTCTCCTGCAACACTTGCATATGTGAAGTATCTCACATTTGCTAAACTAGATCATAAAGCCCTGTCAATAGCCAAATCTGTGAAAATAGCCAAATCTGCTTTCTCTGTTCTTTCTAGCCCTCTTAACTAACCTCCTACATTGTGGAACAAAAAAATGTACATTCTGAACATGAGAACAAATTGATGCCTCAGATATTTAGAAAACCAACTTAATACTCAGTGTTAGTAATTTTTAGAGCACACATTTGAGTATTTAGTATTAAAGAACTAGCACAGAAAAGCAATTAACACAAGCTATAAAATTAATGTCCTGCATATCTATAGTCAGTGTTATCGACTATCCGACGTGGCGGATAACAATGGAGATTTTTCGATTCGTTGCAATGCTAAATAATAAATATTAGCCCCTAACTCCTCTCATACAATGAAAAAATTTAAATTTAAATTGATAGAAGAGGTCAAATCAATTAGATAACTTAAGATTAAAATTAGAATAATGGAAAAGTTCCATCGAAATCCCCTATTCCACTTATCTAGATATGTCTAAGCTACTTCTCTCTCCCACAATCCTTCTCACATTGATGTAGTTTGTCAATGTAATCTCTCTAAGGTTATATGTATTTTTTTTAGGTGAATGATGAGAGAAATGAAAGACCTAGCCCATACGTGAAGGAATTAGCTCTTGGTCTTAATCCTAAGGCAACGTCGTGGCACATCTACTTTGTTAAGGGGTACAAGTTTCACACTGAAGAATGGAGTCGTGGTAAAAAGACTACTAATTATGGTGTACATGTGAAAGGAATTACAAATAGAAGAGAAGATGATTTTTATGGTATCATCCAATGTATCGTTCAATTGGAATACCATGGCTTTAGCAACAAGATTTCCATATTTTATTGTGCTTGGTTTGACCCAACAAATAATAGTGGCGCAAGAGTTAATAAGGAGTACAATATTGTTGACATTAAGATGAATAAACGATATCGTCAATATGACCCGTTCATTCTTGCACAAGAAGAAAAACATGTGTATTATGTCCCATATCCAGATATTTGTAAAAACATGTGTGGAGATAGATAACATCGAGGATGAAATGCCTTATCAATTTGATGAAATTTCACCAGTTGTGCCTATCACAGAACTTGAACAAATATATGGTTTAGCCGATGAAGGATTAATTGATGATGTTGAGCCAGTACTAGTGACAAAGGATCCAATGATTCAAGATGGAGAGAACAATGATTTAAATTAGTTGTAGTTTTAGTTTATAATAGGCCATGGTATTAGTACTAGTGACAAATGATCCCATGTATGTTTTAATTATGTGATTTATCAGTGAAATTGTTCATGTAGTCTATTTTGTATGATTTGTTTGTTTTATATTTGATGTTTGAGAATTTATTTTGGAATTGGATATCAATTGTATTATGATATCTTATGGGTATTCATTTTGGTGTCATTATTAATCTTTCCATTCTTTACTGTCATTTTTTCTTGGAGCTTGCGTCACTAGGCTGATTTGCATCTTATAGTTTATGGTATTTACATGAAATGATGATTCTCCTTTTTAGTTTACACAATTGTGTTGCCACCCATTTTGATTCATTTTGATTTCTTAGCTGCAGATTCGTGTAGATTTCTGTGGCTCGTGGTTGGTGTAAGTTGAAATGACAGGAGAAGGTCAAAGAAGAGAGCACCAATAAGCAAGAAACTGTAAGATGACTAAAACATTCACTATTTAGTTTCTTTACAATTTAATATCTTTTGATGCATTCTTGCTGATGTAAATTATGTTAAAAAGAGTTGTTGATAGGTTATGTCGTACACGACATATGCCACATGGGGCTCTAGCTGTTAACACATCTCACTTGAAGCATGACACAAGGAACAAAAGCACCACTTCTAGCATGTGTCAAAGAACACAAGCTCCTCCACCGCCTCATACCAGGGCAGCACCACCATCGCCTCATACCACCGCAGCACCACCATCGCCTCACACAACTGCAACACCTTCCCCGCCTCTTACAGCCCCAACACCTCCACTGCCTCAGACAATCGAAGCAGCATCACAACCTCAGACAACCAACACATCACTGACATTTGAGGAATCCACATTTGTTCCTACCCCTGGAGTGACACATCATGTTTTACAAGGTCCAATTGTTAATCACACCATGATAGCAGGGGAGGAAGAGGAGAGGGACCAAATTGTTTATGACGAGGAAGAGGAGGCCGCAGAACAAGCATTTGCTGATGGGAAAAGGACTATGATTAGCATTGTGGGAAACGGGTAAAAAATTTAGTTACGCACACTTTTTGATACATAAAGCATGGAGTTAAAAATCGTTTTTTGCGATCTAAATTTGATGTTGTTTAGTGTAAAACACTTAGATAATCTCTGCAACACTTAGATTTTGCTGCATATTCAAGTATGAGAATATGTCTATAACATTATAACATTGTACATTCACCAAATAAATGTCTAATACAAATATACTACTAATAAAATGCAATGCATTTACATAAGTTTGCAGAATACTATGTTCACATGATCTTTGTTCTAATTGTTTATTAAACTTGATATTTGCTTTGTAGGTTGACTCCAAGCAGTATTGTTGCTGAAGCTATTAGAAAAGTTTTAATAAAAATTTATAAAGGAAATTTCTTGCAGTATAGTGAGCTTAAACCTGAGAATAGAAGAGAAGAGAGACATGCATACTTTGATTTGTTTAAAGTAAGACATGTAATTTCCTTTTTACTATAGTATGATGATAAGTTATATTTTTTACAGTTTAATCAACAATTTTTATATTTTGGAAGTCTTTTGTTTAATGGGAGCCGTGTGCTGACGCCAAAATACAAGATTTGTTTCATAAAGCTTGTGGTAAAAGAATATATGATATATTTGGTAAGATTAGGAAAAAGGGGGAAAACCGAAATGGATGGGTGAAAAGGTTTATGTGTATCTTCTTGATGGGTGGAAAACGGAAGAATTCAAAAAGGTAACTTGACAAAATAAGACTAGTCGAGCATCAAACAAAGGGGGGCGGTCCATACCACGGGACGTAGAGCTCATCCTGATGTTGCTATAGAATTGGTGTGTATTCTATTTGTAATTTCAACGCGTCAACATATTTATATCTGATATTCATCATAACCATATATATGTTGTCTTTATTTATAGGAGAAAAAGTTGAGTCGACCACCAAATCCAGACGAGCTCTTCATGGTCACCCATAAAAAGAAGAATGGGCAGTGGGTTGACCGTCGTGCAGAGAATACACATGTAAGACCTTTTTTTATGCCTTAACTTAATTTCATATTTGTGTCTAGTTTTTTCATATTGCATTTATGCTTCCATATTGCTTCCATACTGCACCAGTGTATTCATGAGATTGTAATTCAGTGCTTAGTGAATTTCGCCTTCTAAGTTGTTAAAAGACAAGTTCGTGTAATTAAGAAATGTAAAATTTGAAATGCTCAGTAGTTATAAGCTTTGCATATGAACAATGTTGTTTGGAATGAATGTTGTTAGATTATTTCCTGTGAGATTTACTAATTTAGCTAATTTCCTGCTTGTTTCTTCATCTTTATCAATCTAAAAATTAGTTACACTAAGCTTACACTTTCCTAAAATAGTAACTATAACCAATAATAATTTCAGTTTTGAACTAGTAACCAATAGTAACTATTTCTATTTAGTTTGTAGTTGTTTGAATTAGTTACACTAAGCATACACTTTCCTAAAATAAAAGGGAAGATTCATTCAGTTTATTAATTTAACTTTTGAAATAGTAAAATCAAAGATGAGTACGTGTATAAAATTGTAGTGTAACAGGAAGCTTATAAAATAGTAAAATCAAAGATGAGTACTTGTATAAAATAGGAGAGTAATAGGAATTGTATAAAATTGTAGTGTAGGCTTTTATGGATGGGTACTTGTTGAATGAAAAAACTTTATGAACTGCTACAATTATCATATATCTTACTGTATCAAGAAGCTTATTGGAATGTCCTAATTATTATATTGTGTTGTACATGATGATTATGTGAATCATCTAACACAAGCCACCCAAAATGATAATAATGTGGATGGGTCGGAAAAGCTACAATTATGGAAAGAAGCTGTCGGCGGTAAGTCACGAGGTCGGTGTTATGGAACTGCCCAAATGGCAGTCAACATACAATATGGAGTGTCTTACTTGACACAAGTGACCATTTCAAACTTGAATAGAGAAGCGAAGAGCCAAGCCATTAAGATGGCTAGAGCAGAGGCTTCTAGAGCACGTGAAGACGAAGTGAATGTGAATGCAAGAGAAGCTATGGCTGAGACAGCATAATTGAAAAGGAAATTTGAAGAATTTCAAAAATAATTGTTTGCTTGGCAGTCGGGTAAGACGGGTACTTCCACTGTTCCTTCTAGTGTCCATCATAGTGCTAGTGGTCATTATGATGATGACTCTGAGGGTCAGTCATTGGATCTAGAAGGAATGAGTGATGGATGTTGACATTGTCTTTTTCTTAGTTTTAGAACTTGTTTTGTTGATTTTCACTAGTTTGATATTTTGTGTTGGTATTTTGATGTAACTTTGACATCTTCATGTAACAACATTGTGGATGAGAGCTAGTTTGATATATTGTGTCAATATTTTGATGTAACTGTGACATCTTAATTAATGTAGCAATATCGTAGATTTTTGGAAGTTTGTTATCTTGTGTTGAGGTTTTTGTGATAATATATCAATGAATAGTTTGAATTACAAAAACAGGTTTAAATTTCAAGTAGAATTAATTTGGATTTAAATAGGTATATATAATATAAAACAGAACTGTCAAAGTAAATAATTAATAGCGTAGGCTAAAATCGACGCTTCTAAACAGCATAATAGACCGTTAGCGTCGACTTTGAGCTACGCTACATTGCATGAGTTTAGCTATGTAGCGTTCTTTATGACCTACGCTAGACCTTAGAAATAGTGGCTCACAGAACCGACGCTACATTGAAGACAATATTTAAGTGACCCAATAAACCGACGCTATTTGGGAAAAAATTATTATAGTGGCCTTCTAAACCGCCACTAAATAAATGTTAACGTCGACAACAACCGACACTAAATGAAAACAATTCTATAATGTAGTGTCGATTTTGATAATATAGCGTCCCATTAGCGTTGTCGTAGTCGACGCTACATGTAGCAAAGACTGGCCGTTATGGTTTGCTTCCACCTTTAGCGTGTCCGTCCCGATCCCGACGCCAAACCGACGCTAAAGGCATTTAGCGTCGTTTTTTTACTTATTAACGATGATTTTTGGCCGACGCTAAAATGCAAGTTTCTTGTAGTGAATGTTGATAGAGTTAAAGTTTGACTTAACACATTTTTACAAAATTGACATATAAAGTGAGAGGTATCATTCTTAAAAAAAAAATTGTGGCCTCTCTCTTTAATTAATGTGGAATTTAGATTTTTTTTTTCTTCTAATAGTTATTCAAGTGGTTAGGAGTGAAATACAAATATATAAATTTAAGTATGTTTTTCTAACTTGTGAGATTGGAGATTAAGAGTTTTACTGTAAAAGAGATGTTCTTCAAAACCACTTCAAACCGAAACATGGAAAAACATGTTTTTGAGAATCAACATGATTTTTATATTTATATTTGATGGTTTTATCTAGCTATCAATGATGCATCTCTTATTTTTCAAAAATGATTTTGGTTTTAAAAAAGATTAACAGTGCACTTAGTTATCCGTTTAACGTTGTTCATTCATGTGTAAATACTATTTTTAATATAAAAAAAATCTTTTGAAAGCTTTGGGTGTAGTTTTTATGTAGACTTTATTTATTCCACACTGCCTTCATCTCATTTTTTTTCATCATTTTGAAAGCTTTGAATGTATTTTTTAGTGAAGTCTTTATGTCAACTTTATTAATTTCACACTGCCTTCTTCTTTTATGTTAATTTTGCTAGCTAGCTGTCGAATAACATTTTCTTAGTGTTTTGTGCTCTATGGACATATGGACATAGCCCAATGAAATTACAAGATGATAAATGAAGAATATTCATCGATGGTTCGATCCCTTTTGACGTCAATATGTCATGGTTGACAAAGCTAAACAAAAATCATGATTCAAAGAGTAGACTTCATTAACAAAACATATTAAGTGCCAGACAAATTTTGGTGGGTGGGGCTTAATTTACTCCTAATTAACCAATAGTATTTTAATTTATATTCATTTAGTAGCATTTTGAATATTTTAGTACATCAAATGATTGATAATGATTGGAGGAGTTTCATACGATACAACATCAGAAGCATAATTCACCAACCCCAAAACACTCCTATCTTTTTCATTTATAACTCTTAATTAAATAACTTATAATAATTATTAGAGCATGCAGTTTGTATAGACAAAAAATTTAACAATTCTTAAAAAAAAATTAACAATGATTGAATGAAATTGGTTGAATGAAGTTAGTCATCAAACAAGGAGAATCATCTCCTTAAATAGCAACCACAATTCAGTCAAAAAAATTCGATAGAGTTTGAATAAAAAATGGTTGAATCCAAAAAGTACAAATTCAATTTTTTTTATTAAAATCAAATTTAAATCTTTTATAAAATTGAATCTAATTAAATTTTTATCTAACATATTTAAAAATTATCAAAAAATTTATAAAATAAATTCAAATAAAAAAACGTTTTTCAAATAGCACAATTTTAATCATATTTTTCATCAAACTAAAAGAAAAACAAATATAATACAAAAAAATTGAAACGATATTCAAATAGATAAAACGTGTATGTCTCAGAAACAAAGGCATGATATCTTATATTAAATTAGAACATATGGTTTAACATGTAATCTATAAAAAATTAGTAATCAAATATAATAACAAAAATTAAAGTTAGGGATTATAGTTTCAAATACAATCAAATGAATGCAAAAATGTTAAAATGTTAAACTAAATTTCGTTAGCTAATTTGATGAATTAGTCTCTTAGAATTTTAAGTGAAAAATATTTGAATAATGAGGCAATAATAGATAGTGTAGATGGTGATGAAGTTATGAGGCAAATCTGTGTGTAAAATGATTGAGGAACATATCAGATTTTATGAAATTCAGAAGAGCTTGGTGGGTGAGTTGCAATTATGAATCAAGATATGTGTATGCATGGCAGAGTAGCAAATATGCTCAAATCACAACTAAGTTTTGGATTGGGGAGAATGAACCCAAATAAGGTAATTGTGTGCATTTATTGGTTAGGGATACTGTTGAATGATTATGTTATAATTAAGAATAAGAATTCAATTTGGTCTTCTCTTACGCACTTGTTTTTGCTGAAATCATTGTTACAAACTATAAGTGAGACCCATTTTACACCATGACAGATTATCATAAAATTAGTGTGTTTTTTGTTTGAATCCTGATTTTCTTTAGTTTTAATATATATTTTTCCATTAAAAAAAGTAATTTTTTCCAGTAAACAACCATTATATATATATATATATATATATATATATATATATATATATATATATATATATATATATATATATATATATATATATATATATATATATATATATATATATATATATAATTTTGTTAATATACATCCATTACAAATTTTTAGGAGGTTTTTAATCTCCACTATTTTCAAAATTTAATATACTGTAGTTATTAAAAAACCTCATTAACATAACCCTTTAAATTATTAAAAAATAATAATAATAAATAAATAGCTGGATATATATATATATATATATATATATATATATATATATATATATATATATATATATATATATATATATATATATATATATATATATATATATATATATATATATATATATATATATATATATATATATATATATATATATATAGTTAAGTAGGGCAGTTGCTCAGGCTACATCCGGCCACACTTCTCCATCTCGCGTCCGAGATCTATCATGACCATCCTCCATCAAACCATATCCCAAACAGATATACATGTATCTCCACTCCTGTCGTTCCGATTTATGTTCAATCAGGTACTTGTGAGTCTCACCTTTTTTTGTGTCTTAATTCTTTTTCATTTTTATGTGTATTTGAGTCTCACCTTCCTTTAACCCTCGGCGATAAAATATCTTTGCTGGTTCTTTCTTCTTTTTGCTTCGGTTTCAGTTCAATTCTCGCAACAACATTGTTGTTGTGTTGTTATTTGTTGTTGCCAGTTGTGGTTGGGGAATTGATAGAGAATTGGTGTGAAATTTATCGTTTTGCGCTATGCCTACTAAATGTTCATTAAATATTCTAGACCAAGATTCTTCTTCCTTAATCTTATTTTTTCTTTGTCAAGAATAGAGATGGCTTGGGACAACAACTCTTTTTGGCTTGGGCATGATGGTAACAAAAACTAAAGCCCTTGTTTAAGTTGTTTATCACAAACTATATATGAAAATGAAACAATAGTCTAAAATGTAATTAGTATTTATTAGAGTAATAATGCAAGTGTGAGTAAGTGGAGAAATAGCCTCACATTTAATAGGAATGTGAAGACTTGAGGATATATAAGTTGGAGAATCCTCTCACCTATAACCTTAAGATTTTAGGTAGATAAGTGATGTGTCTATCATAAAGCTACATAATCATCAACTTTATATCAATGCTCTTAGTAACTTCCTCCAACAAATAGTTTCAGAGACTAGATCGAAAAAAGGGTCCGGATTACTTGTCTGGAAATATCTAATAAGATGTGTCTCGTTGTCTAAGAAGAGATAACAGTGGTACAAGTGTAAGTGGGAGATCATTATGGACTCACACTTGAGGGGGAGTGTAAGAATAATAATGCAAGTGTGAATAAGTAGGAAAATAGTTCCACATTTTATATGAATGTGGAGGCTTGAGCATATATATATATATATATATATATATATATATATATATATATATATATATATATATATATATATATATATATATATATATATATATAAGTAGGAGAATCCATTGACCTATTACCTTAAAGTTTTATATAAACAAGTAGTGTGTCTCTCACAAAGATGCATAATCCTCAATTTTATATCAATGCTCCTAATAACTCCCCCAACAATATTGTTAATATGGACTTCTCTCTTGCTTTTTCTTCTAGAAATATTCAATGCTGGCAATATCATTAACAGATCTACCAGGATTGTTGAAGAGCATTTTGGCATGTTGATTTCAGTCTTGTTTATTAATTAAGGTCAGTGATTAGTATATGACTGAAATGATTTTGCATGAAAAGAAATCTGATTATACAAGTTTACTGAAATAATGCAGGGAATAATAAAAGAGTTTCGTGTTCTTTAAAATGAAAATTCAAAATTAGATCACTACCAATTTCATTGGCTTTATGTGAATGGTTTACTAGGTAATATATTCACATTTGCTCTTCTCTATACAACATCGAAGAGCAGAAGAGCAAGAACATGGTTATATGGGATATGTTTGTCATTATTATAGATTTTAATTGATATTT